CACATGCAGAGACACACATAGACTCAAAATAAAGGGATGCAGGAAGATCTACCAAGCAAATGGAGAACAAAAAAAAGCAGGGGTTGCAATCCTAGTCTCTGATAAAACAGACTTTAAACCATCAAAGATCAAAAGAGACAAAGAAGGCCACTACATAATGGTAAAGGGATTAATTCATCAGGAAGAGCTAACTATCCTAAATATATATGCATGTAATACAGGAGCACCCAGATTCATAAAGCAAGTCCTTAGAGACTTACAAAGAGACTTAGACTCCCATACAATCATAATGGGAGACTTTAACACCCCACTGTCAACATTAGACAGATCAATGAGACAGAAAGTCAACAAGGATATCCAGGAATTGAACTCAACTCTGCACCAAGTGGTCCTAACAGACAGCTACAGAACTCTCCACCCCAAATCAACAGAATATACATTCTTCTCAGCACCACATCGCATTAATTCCAAAATTGACCACATAGTTGGAAGTAAAGCACTCCTCAGCGAATGTAAAAGAACAAAATTATGACAAACTGTCTCTCAGACCACAGTGCAATCAAACTAGAACTCAGCACTAAGAAACTCAATCAAAACCGCTCAACTACATGGTAACTGAATAACCTGCTCCTGAATGACTACTGGGTACATAACGAAATTAAGGCAGAAATAAAGATGTTCTTTGAAACCAATGAGAACAAAGATACAACATACCAGAATCTCTGGGACACATTTAAAGCAATGTGTAGAGGGAAGTTTATAGCACTAAATGCCCACAAAAGAAATCAGGAAAGATCTAAAATTGACACCCTAACATCACAGTTAAAAGAACTAGAGAAGCAAGAGCAAACACATTCAAAAGCTAGCAGAAGGCAAAAAAAAAAAAAAACTAAGATCGCAGCAGAACTGAAGGAGATAGAGACACAAAAAACACCCCAAAAAATCAATGAATCCAGGCACTGGTGTTTTGAAAAGATCAACAAAATTGATAGACCCCTAGCAAGACTGATAAAAAAGAGAGAAGAATCAAATAGACGCAATAAAAAATGATAAAGGGGATATCACCACCGACCCCACAGAAATACAAACTACCATCAGAGAATACTATAAACACCTCTACGCAAATAAACTAGAAAATCTAGAAGAAATGGATAATTTCCTGGACACTTACACTCTCCCAAGACTAAACCAGGAAGAAGTTGAATCCCTGAATAGACCAATAGCAGGCTCTGAAATTGAGGCAATAATTGATAGCCTACCAACCAAAAAAAATCCAGGACGAGATGGATTCATAGCTGAATTCCACCATAGATACAAGGAGGAGTTGGTACCATTCCTTCTGAAACTATTCCAATCAATAGAAAAAGAGGGAATCCTCCCCAACTCATTTTACGAGGCTAACATCATCCTGATACCAAAGCCTGACAGAAATACAGCCAAAAAAGAGAATTTTAGACCAATATCCCTGATGAACATCGATGCAAAAATCCTCAATAAAATACTGGCAAACCGAATCCAGCAGCACATCAAATCCAGCAGCAGATCCACCATGATCAAGTGGGCTTCATCCCTGGGATGCAAGGCTGGGTAAATATATGCAAATCAGTTAATATAATTCAGCATATAAACAGAACCAAAGACAAAAACCACATGATTATCTCAATAGATGCAGAAAAGGCGTTTGACAAAATTCAACAGCCCTTCATGCTAAAAACTCTCAATAAATTCGGTATTGATGCAACATATCTCAAAATAATAAGAGCTATTTATGACAAACCCACAGCCAATATCATACTGAATGGGCAAAAACTGGAAGCATTCCCTTTGAAAACTGGCATAAGACAGGGATGCCCTCTCTCACCACTCTTATTCAACATAGTGTTGGAAGTTCTGGCTAGGGCAATCAGGCAAGAGAAAGAAATCAAGGGTATTCAGTTAGGAAAAGAAGAAGTCAAATTGTCCCTGTTTGCAGATGACATGATTGTATATTTAGAAAACCCCATTGTCTCAGCCCAAAATCTCCTTAAGCTGATAAGCAGCTTCAGCAAAGTCTCAGGATACAAAACTAATGTGCAAAAATCACAAGCATTCTTATACACCAGTAACAGAAAAACAGAGAGCCAAATCATGAATGAACTCCCATTCACAATAGCTTCAAAGAGAATAAAATACCTAGGAATCCAACTGACAAGGGATGTAAAGGACCTCTTCAAGGAGAACTACAAACCACTGCTCACTGAAATAGAGGAGGATACAAACAAATGGAAGAACATACCATGCTCATAGATAGGAAGAATCAATATTGTGAAAATGGCCATACTGCCCAAGGTAATTTATAGATTCAATGCCATCCCCATTAAGCTACCAATGACTTTCTTCACAGAATTGGAAAAAACTGCTTTAAAGTTCATATGGAACCAAAACAGAGCCCGCATTACCAAGACAATCCTAAGCCAAAAGAACAAAGCTGGAGGCATCACACTACCTGACTTCGAACTACACTACAAGTCTACAGAAACCAAAACAGCATGGTACTGGTACCAAAACAGGGATATAGACGAATGAAACAGAATAGAGCCGTCAGAAATAATACCACACATCTACAGCCATCTGATCTTTGACAAACCTGACAAAAACAAGAAAAGGGGAAAAGATTCCCTATTTAATAAATGGTGCTGGTAAATTGGCTAGCCATAAGTAGAAAGCTGAAACTGGATCCTTTCCTTACTCCTTATATGAAAATTAATTCAAGATCTATTAGAGACCTAAAACCATAAAAACCCTAGAAGAAAACCTAGGTAACACCATTCAGGACATAGGCATGGACAAGGACTTCATGTCCAAAACACCAAAAGCAATGGCAACAAAAGTCAAAATTGACAAATGGGATCTAATTAAACTAAAGAGCTTCTGCACAGCAAAAGAAACTACCATCAGAGTGAACAGGCAACCTACAGAATGGGAGAAAATTGATGCAATCTACTCATCTGACAAAGGGCTAATACCCAGAACCTATAAAGAACTCAATCAAATTTACAAGAAAACAACAAACAACCCCATCAAAAAGTGGACAAAGGACATGAACAGACACTTTTCAAAAGAAGACATTCATACAGCCAACAGACATCTGAAAAAATGCTCATCATCACTCACCATCAGAGAAATGCAAATCAAAACCACAATGAGATATCATCTCACACCAGTTAGAATGGCAATCATTAAAAAATCAGGAAACAATAGGTGCTGGAGAGGATGTGGAGAAATAGGAACACTTTTACACTGTTGGTGGGATTGTAAACTAGTTCAACCATTATGGAAAACTGTATGGTGATTCCTCAAGGATCTAGAACTAGAACTACCATTTAACCCAGCCATCCCATTACTGGGGATATACCCAAAGGATTAGAAGTCATGCTGCTATAAAGACACATGCACACGTATGTTTATCGTGGCACTCTTCACAATAACAAAGACTTGGAATCAACCCAAATGCCCATCAGTGACAGACTGGATTAAGAAAATGTGGCACATATACACCATGGAATACTATGCAGCCATAAAAAAGGATGAGTTCCTGTCCTTTGTAGGGACATGGATGCAGCTGGAAACCATTAGTCTCAGCAAACTATCGCAAGAACAGAAAACCAAACACTGCATGTTCTCACTCAGAGGTGGGAACTGAACAATGAGATCACTTGGACACAGGAAGAGGAACATCACACACTGGGTGCTATTGTGGGGAGGGGGGGAAGGGGGAGGGATAGCATTAAGAGATATACCTAATGTAAATGACGAATTAATGGATGCAGCACACCAACATGGCACATGTATACATATGTAACAAACCTGCACGTTGTGCACATGTACCATAGAACTTAAAGTGTAATAAAAAGGGGGATATAAAATATTTCGTTAATAATTTCTATATTGATGACATGTAAAATATAATATTCAGTAAATAACACCACTAAGATGAAATTCACTTGTGTATTTTAACTTTTTCAGTCTAGCTACTAACATTTAAAACATTTCACTCTAGCTACTAACATCTAACACTTAAAATTGCATGTGTGGCTCACATTCTATGTTTCTATTGAATGATGCTGGCCTATATAAAGAATGGGAGTTGTGGTGGAGGTTATGGAGATGGAGGACTAAAGACTCTTCCAAACCATCTCGTAGTGCTACACTGCAGGCCACTCCGGTGTTGCTAAAGCACCAGTGAGAGGAGATTTTACAACATTCTCCCAAAGGGAAGGGTGTGGAGAAAAGTTCTTGGAGGAGAAGGGGCTGAAGCTGCCAGACCTAGAACAGGGCTTCAGGAGTTCCTTATGCTTACAGCTGTTGGCACCTTGGGAGATTAACTGCAATGTGCCAGAGACAGGAACTATGGGGCCAAAATGTGACATAAATCTCCCCAGTATGGGTTTGGACATTTAGAACTACATGTGGCACATGTGCTATACAAGTAGGGAAATATTATCATTATCATTTTTATTGTTTTGTGTCCAATTGTGAAATGGAAGCAACAGGGTCACTGGGTTTCAGAGGCCCATCTAGTCCTGGGTCGTTGACATCTTAGCATCAGCCAGGTTGGTTTACAGGGGCCTCCCCAAGCGTTCCATATTGCATAAGACCCCTGAGACCTTTCACCAATCTTGTAGCTTAAGGAGACAGCCTTACTAATAACTAAGATTTAATTTCTTGCCAACTGGTAAGTGGAATGTAGGAGTTGGATATAATTTCACTTAGAAAAATAATGTGTCAATTCTTGATGTTGAGTATTATGTTGGAGTAAAATTCATGTCCCTTATTGTGGCCTTTGATTTTTGAGGCAAGAAAGAGACTTGAGCTCTTTAAGGGATCTTAAAATAGACTAACAGTTTTTGATTAATAGCCAGTACTACTGGACATGAAGAAACTCTTCAACAGAAATATGCTTCTAATGTAATTGCCCATGTGTCTTCCTTATTCAAATATTATAAAAATGATTTTAGAACCTGTAATTTTTTGAGGTCCTTGAAGGCTTGTGGGTGAATTTTGAATATCTTGGTTCTCTTTAAATAGAGATTCTCCAGTTGCAGGCAGTTGTGAAAATCAGACCACCTTATTTGCAATATCCCATCGAATGACAGATCCAAACTCTGCAATGACTTCAGTTTCCACAGTCCTGTTAAAATGAAAAAGTAAGTTAAAATCTAAACTGGTGAAATTTACTGCAGCACTGTTTGTAATGTTGAAAAATTGGAGACAACATTAAGAGTTCTCAACTGAGGTATTGCTAAACGAAGTATAGCATATTAATACTATGAAATAATATGTAATCTCAAAGGATAATGAGACAGATCAACATGTAAACTGACTGAACAGGAAGAAAACAGTTAAGTACAGAATAGTATAGAGTATAAGTCCAATGTCCTTGGGAAAAAGAGCCATATGCAAACACATACATAGATTTTGAGTGAGCAAGAAAAGGTCTGGCAGGAGATAAACTCAACTACTAATAGTTACACTTAGGACTAGGATGATTGAGGGAAGTGAAGAGGGATAAGAAAAGAATCATGCTGCTATAAAGACACATGCACACGTATGTTTATTGCAGCACTATTCACAATAGCAAAGACTTGGAATCAACCCAAATGTCCATCAGTGACAGACTGGATTAAGAAAATGTGGCACATATACACCATGGAATACTATGCAGCCATAAAAAAGGACGAGTTTGTGTCCTTTGTAGGGACATGGATGCAGCTGGAAACCATCATTCTTAGCAAACTATTACAAGAACAGAAAACCAAACACCGCATGTTCTCACTCATAGGTGGGAACTGAACAATGAGATCACTTGGACTTGGGAAGGGGAACATCACACACCGGGGCCTATCATGGGGAGGGGGAAGTGGGGAGGGACTGCATTGGGAGTTATACCTGATGTAAATGACGAGTTGATGGGTGGTGACGAGTTGATGGGTGCAGCACACCAACATGGTACAAGTATACATATGTAACAAACCTGCACGTTATGCACATGTACCCTAGAATTTAAAGTATAATAATAATAAAAAATAAATTAAAAAAAAAAAAGAAAAGAAACGTTGTTTTGAACACTTTTGAATTCTTTCTTTCAATGAGCATGTACTACTTTTAAAATAAGAGAATCACTTCTTCTCCAAGAAAACACCAAATGGCAGATGATGCCGGTGCAGCGGAGGGGCGGCCCGGAGGCCCTGGTGGCCCTGGGGTGGGGAAGGGCAGTGGCTTCCGCGGAGGTTTTGGCAGTGGCATCCGGGGCTGGGGTCCCGGCTGTGGACGGGGTCCCGGCCGAGGCCGCTGAGCTCGCAGAGGCAAGGCCAAGGATAAGGAGTGGATGCCCGTCACCAAGCTGGGCCGCTTGGTCAAGGACATGAAGATCAAGTCCCTGGAGGAGATCTACCTCTTCTCCCTGCCCATTAAGGAATCTGAGATCATTGACTTTTTCTTGGGGGCTTCTCTCAAGGATGAGGTTTTGAAGATTATGCCGGTGCAGAAGCAGACCCGTGCTGGCCAGCCCACCAGGTTCAAGGCCTTTGTTGCTATGGGGGACTACAATGGCCACGTCGGCCTGGGTGTTAAGTGCTCTAAGGAGGTGGCCACCGCCATCCGTGGGGCCATGATCCTGGCCAAACTCTCCATTGTCCCCATGCACAGAGGCTACTGGGGGAACAAGACTGGCAAGCCCCACACTGTCCCTTCCAAGGTGACAGGCTGCTGTGGCTCTGTGCTGGTGCGCCTCATCCCTGCATCCAGGGGCACTGGCATCCTCTCAGTGCCTGTGCCCAAGAAGCTGCTCATGATGGCTGGTATAGATGACTGCTACACCTCAGCCCGGGGCTGCACTGCCACCCTGGGCAACTTCACCGAGGCCATGTTTGATGCCATCTCTAAGACCTACAGCTACCTGACCCCTGACCTCTGGAAGGAGACTGTGTTTACCAAGTCTCCCTATCAGGAATTCACTGACCACCTTGTCAAGACCCACACCAGAGTCTCCATGCAGCGGACCCAGGCTCCAGCTGTGGCTACAACATAGGGTTTTTTATACAAGAAAAATAAAGTGAATTAAGCCTGAAAAAAATAAAATAAAATAAGAGAATCAGTTAAAAATATAACCTCGATTGAAAGATATGAAAAATATTTATTTGACTGAACTATATAGAAAAACTAAATAATCTTGCTAAACAATAGAGGAAAAAAGTTGTTTTGATGCTTTATTTACATGGATAAATTCTTCTAGTTTTAAGATTTTTCTTATTCTATTTTTTTCTGAGGCAGAGTCTCACTCTGTCACCCAGGCTGGAGTGCAGTGCCACAATCCCCACTCATTGCAACTTCCACCTCCCAGGTTCAAGTGAGTCTTCTGCCTCAGCCTCCCAAGTAACTGGGATTAAAAGTGCCTGCCACCATGCCAGGCTAATTTCTTTTTTTGTATTTTTGGTAGAGACGGGGTTTCACCATGTTTGTCAGGCTGGTCTTGAACTCCTGACCTCAAGTGATCCACCGCCTTGGCCTCCCAAAATACTGGGATTACAGGCATGAGCCACCACACCCCGCTGTCTTATGCTATTTTGTAGCCATGTCCTTTCTTGTAGCTACTTATTGTTGATATTATGACTATTTCCTAGGCATTCTTGTGTTTTCCAAATGTAGTAAGTTGTAGCTAGATTTTGTTTTCCAGCAAAATAATCAAATTGAATTTTGGTCTCTGCCTTTGTATTTCACTTGATTTCAGAGAGTAATCAGGAGGTCCATTTGGCACTGAAAATAAATAAAGGTTCAGAAGGAGGTGCTAGTCATAGCTGTCTCTCAAATTTCATTTCCCATATGGGTTTCAGAAGGAAATGTTTGCATTTTTACATTTCCTTCTGCTCTGTTCTTGCACGTAGCCTGTGTCTTTAATCAACAGAACAAGATCAGGTTGGTTCAATTACAGGAGGCTTTATTCCTTGCCTACTGTCTGCAAGCTACTTATTGTAAGATTGATTATACAGGGAGATGACTTAATTGAAATGGCTGCATCATCAAGATTGTCATATGTTCATTTAATTGTATACATGCTACACAAGAGATCATCAGGACAACGAATCGATCAAAACATTATGGGCAAGGAAGTCAGTGCTGAGGACAAGCATGGACAACATAGAATATTTACTCTTAAAAGAGTTTAATCTGATCCAATGATAAGACATAAACTCAAGGTAAAGTTATTAGTTATACAGAGTAGTTCATCACATGGACCGTCCGACCATAAAATTAATTTTTATTTGTTTGTTTGCCTATCAGATGATCAAGTCCTCTCAGGGCAGAATTCACATCTTTGAACTTTTGCAATGCTTGGTGGAATATAGTATACATTCAATAGGCCAGAGGCCACCATGTCTGGCTTGCATAGAGATTTAAAAATCATTGTACTGACATTAAAAATTCAATAAAAATTTGCATTTCTGGCTTCTCTTAAGAAAACTGGAAGTTCTAATTGGCACAAGATGACATTTGGCTGGAGCTGAATGAAGGCTGCCTGCTGTCGACGGGGGTATGAGCTTATAGAAGATTATCATTTCTTTGTACTCATGTCTCTGTCAAAAACAAGAAAACAGACTGGGCACAGTGGATGATGCCTGTAATCCCAGCACTTCGGAGGCTGAGGTGGATGAATCACTTGAGGTCAGGAGTTCAAGACCAGCCTGGGCAACGTGGTGAAACCCTATCTCTACTAAAAATACAAAAATTAGCCAGTGTGGTAGTGTTTGAGTCTGGGAGGCAGAGGTTGCAGTGAGTCGAGATCCATACCACTGTACTCCAGCTAGGGTAACAGAGTGAGACTCCGTCTCAAAAACAAACAAACAAAAAACAACAACAACGACAATGACAAAAAAACAGGAAAACAAAGGATAGGCCAAGAAGATTTTTTTTTTTTTTTTTTTAATGAGAGAGAAGTAAGACATATTCAGCTTATTCTGGTAAAAAATATTTCCATATTGGTTTGGAAATGACCATTGTCGAAGTCCCTGTGCACTACGCTGCTGCCCTGAGCACTTACTTCAGTCTAACTTCTCCTTGCCCCCGGTCCAGCTGCACCTGGCTCCAGCACTACAGCCAGGAGGCATCCAACTGTGGAGCCCAGGCTGAAGGCCAGTTGTTAAATATTTTGAACATAACCTCTGGAGAAAAATGTTTCTTTGTGCATAGAAGCATATTCCTACATCTCTTAATATGCAAGCATATGGGTCTGTCAGAAAAAAATGCAAAATAAGACACCAATATGAAAGAAGCTACAGCTTTCTTAACATTTTCATGATACCTGCCTGGCCTATATAGGGATGCAAACTCATGATTCCTAAAATATCTCAGTGCTTAATTGAATTGAGTTAAGTGCCCTAGGAGCTCAGTGGAGGCAGCGATCATGCCTAGCTTTAAAGTGACGGAAGAAATTATTTTTAAACTCCTAATTGTGTACTCTTTATGCTCTAAGCATTTCACAAACATCTCCTTTTAACCTTCACAAAGCCTGAGGAGTTATCAACATTTTACAAACGAAAAAAAACTAGGTTCAGCAAAGTTAAGAACTTTCTCAACACCATGGTGGGTGGAGCTGGAATCAAAACCCAGATCTCTTAACCATTACCCTTAACCACGCCCATCTTTTATTAACTAAAAACAAATAAAAACAAACAACCCTCCCTCAAAGCCACAAAAGGGTGGTCTGGGTCATGGAGTACATAATGAAATTGCCAGATGTATTGGGGGTTGCTTAGTTAATCTGCTTGTGTCACGGAGTAACAGGGTGCTGGAGAGGAACTTAAGGGACTGAGGTTTATTCCACCTTTATTTGTGAGTTTTTGTTTGGTTTTGTTTTGAGACAGGATCTTGCTCTGTCACCAGGCTAAAGCGCCATGGCACAATCATAGCTTACTGTAACCTCGAGCTCCTGGGCTCAAGCAATTCTCTTGCCTCAGCCTTCAGAGTAGCTTGGACTACAGGTGTATGCCACTATGTCTGGCTATTATTTTTTTCTTTTAATTTTTTGTAGAGATAGAATCTCACCATGTTGCCCAGGCTGGTCTCAAACTTCTGGCCTCAAGCAATCCTCCCACTTTGGCCTCCCAAAGTGTTGGGATTACAGGTGTGAACCAC